GAGTGACAAAGAACGCGAGCTTTGGTTTTCCATTGCTTCTAACTAAACTATATTTGAGTCTCACAATAGATTCACGATGCAGAGATTATCCGCTAAGCATTGCAATTGTTTGAGCGCAAAGTAAGGACATGTGTAGACATGACTCTCTATTTGTTCACCGGAACGCCTATCGCCTATATTTAACTCTTCAACAAGAGTTTTGTGTTCCGAGACTAGAACAGCGGAGACATCGGCGTGCGCTCCGAAGCGCTAGACGTGTTCACCTGTTTGGCCAAATGTATCTCGACTTAAACACAAGTTCTCCCATTTTTTGTTTGGTTTTTTTAAAGGAGAAAAAGCAGTGTACCAAACTGAGCAGCAGTTCTGGCCAAACGCAGCAAACGAGAAAAACACATAAATTGATTTAAAAAAAAAAAAAAAAAAAACACTCGCACACATATTCATCTTGGCACATCAAAGGGATTCATTGATGTCACTGAACATGGGGAGTCTGCGGCTGGAGAGGGGAGATGTTGGTTATCCTTTCCTCAAAGGGTGCTGAGATGCTCCTGATGGGCCCCGCGCTCGAGAAGCCAGAGAACGCTATAAACAGAATTTCTAATGTCAGGCGGGCGAGTGGGTGGGTTAGGTAGTGAACCAGCAGGCTATGGGGTAGCGGGAGGAATTGACGCCAGCTCATGCTTTCCACAGAGATTAGAGAGAGAAGGATAGAGACCAGGACTGACACCATTTCACACAGTTGTGTGTGAGGGATGGTAGGAAGAAAGCATCCGTGGGCTGAAAATCAAATGCCAGATGCATGCATCCCCCCCCCCCAAAAAAAAGATTTGCATGTGACACTGCTGGAGATGATATAAAGTTATAACATCTACTGATTTGTTGGTTAGTTTCTGTGTAAATTGGAACATTTGCAACATATTATTAGCTGCACTGGTTTGTGTTGCACTAATTAGAACTGACCTTGATTACCCATGTGCAATATAAAAGCTAATTGCTGAGAAATACAGCCGTGAAATATGTACCAATTCACACATTATGTGGAAACTGAGAATGTAAACATCTCTCCCCTTCTTCTGCAACTAAATCACGATTGTTTTTCAATTCCTTTAAGTCCGAGCAGAGGGTTCATTATCAAAATGACTCCAGGCGAGAGCTCCCAGCCAGTGATGGCATTTCTGCGGGCGATCGAGATCTCCTTCTAATTGGATAGTGTCACCAAATTGATGTAGATGTGTTTGCCTTTGAAGGGAAAAAATCCTTTAAAAACTATAAACCTAGTCAAAAATGTTAGCTGTGTTGACACAGCGCTTGGGTATAAAAATATTTGCACGCCAACATTCAGGAATACAACACTGAGCGTTGTGAGAATGTGAGCGCCCCGTACACTGTTCCCTCTGTTGCAAAATATCCACACAGCATCACCTGAACGCCCCCACTCCCCCAACCCTCCTGACGCTCACAGGCTCTGCACAGACAAACGTGCAGCACGCATGGTTGCATGTTTGCTCATTCACACACACACACATGCAGCAAGGTGAGTGAAATGCCAAGTGAGCCACCTGATGAAAAGACATCTCCACACAAACAGGCTTTGCTTATGCAGGGAGAGGCCCTTTTATTCAGCGGGACAATGTCTGTGTTGACTTTTCTTTGTCTGCACATTTTAAGCACCAAAAGCACCAGAAAGAATTGAGGGGGGGTGGCGGTGGTGGTGAGAGCCAATGCGGCATGCAATCGTAGCCACTGACATGTCCAGACTTATACAAGCTCTCCATTCATATCTCGATCTCAAACCATTTTCTATTCAACAATCATGCTCGGGAGTTCGAGTGTCCCACCGTGTATTTGATGAAGATATGTTTGAGCGGCTAACCTCGCTCACACTCTCTCGCCACCTCTCACACACAAGAGGCATTTCGCTCGTCGGCGAGGATGATGGTGATGTAGTGGCCGAGTTATCTAAAAGTGCTGATGAAGGCAACAAGGGGCGGTGGCGTGGAGCGGAGTGCGTGTTTCGCCAAGTTAAATCTGACAGTCTTCGATCACAATGCAAATCAGTGAATTGGCAAACATTTAGCTGGATTTGTGCTGATAACTTTGATAAAGAGGGGAAGAAAACAAAACAAAAATTTAAAAAAACAAATGCTCCGGTCCTGCGCCCCACAGCAGGCAGAGGTCTGGTGGAACATCTCTGCAAACATAAAACCTCCTCCTCAGCTCTCAGTGGATTACAGCGGAATGTCAGCTCAGAGCAGGCTTTAAATCAGTTATGCTTGGCCCTCAGGGGAACTCTGTGCTGATCCCATGTAGGCCTGTCTCTCATTGCTCATGATAGGGTTGCCACATCCCAATTTTTTTTTTTTTAAGTTAGGGGCTCAAAACCTTCAAGACTGCAGAGTAAAATTACTGCATGACAACTCTTGAGCAACACCTCACGTCTATTATATGCACTGAATGCACATGCAGCATTACTACACAAAAGCAGCTGGTTGGGAGAGCACAAGTAGGAGTTATAAATAGTTTCATGCAAATGTGAAAATGAATGTCTTGCATACATACAAAACTAAAAAAAACAAAACATTTACATTACGCTCAAAGGTATCAAGCTGCCTAGTCTGCACCAGGAAATGGAAACGGTGGATTTTGTTGCCTGGCACTAATCACACGATCTGTGTGAGAGACGCAACTTTAATGCGTCTCATGCAGCACAAGTACAACCGCGTACTGCTGGGCGCTTGTAAAACAAATGTGGCAGTTCCAGCAGCAGGGCGTTCCAAGCTGCACAACATCATAAAAGTATTTGCGGGCACCAGGATGGTTTTTATGTCAAGACGGGAGAGGTGACAAAACAAATTCATTTGCCCTGTAGGAAGAAATTTCATCTCACTAGCCTATCTGCATATTCCACAGAATGATTATTCGTGATAAGCTTTACTGCAGAGCTCATCATGTGTGTAAAATGTGTGATAAATATTATTCTGTAAACCTATCTGCACTAAACTTGATCCACAGGTGTAAATAAACCAGACTCTCGCGATGAGAGGTGAAAAAAAAAGAAAAATGTTGAGCCTTTCCCCAATCACATTCACGACATTTAAGCCACGAAGCCAGTCCAAAGCCCAGTACAATATGGAGACCTTAAGACGACCGCTAAGTATGCCAGCTATTGTCTGCCTGCTTGTTTTCTGCCACAGTGATGATTGACACAGTCAGCCCACTTTGTCCTATTGACCCCATTCTTTTTTTTTCTTCAAATATAGAGGATTATACCTCAGAATTTAAAATCCCCTGTAATTATTTGTTACTTTGCCACAAGCAATAAGCTGTATTAATTTTCCGCTCTTGTTTTCCTAGAGAAAATACCAGGAAGAGAGAGGCATTCATACCAGACACACATGACAAAACAAAGCAAGGGACGAGATAACAGAGTTAAAGCCGTTAGGTTTGTTTCTTAATTACACCAAATACATCTACCACAGTTTCCTTTGGGGGGAATAAACGTATTCTAATGCACTTCTATTCGAGCACGTTTATCTCTTGGGTTGTGACGTCACTCCTCGGAAAGTCTGGTGGCCAAAACCAACAACATAGACAAACTACAAGATAGCGTGCATCACATGGAGTGAGGAGAGTAGCCATTTAGTTAATGAGCCCCAATGGAGACCTCCAATGAAGCCATCAAGACTGCTCAGAATAACAATGGTCAACTAACGCCTTTCTAATTGAATGGAAGGTACAGGGAGGCAAGGGGAGTGGGCAAGGAACAGTGAAAAGGATAAAGGGGGAGGGAAGGGGGGCTGGGTCTTTTCAGTCAGATGCCTGCCAGGCCTTAACGAAAGTACTTATTTTGTTTTTTTTTTCCTTTTTTTAGGGTGGGGGGTGACATGGCTTGGGGGATGGACAATCTCAAGAAAAACAGAGCTCACAAGCAGAGATTATTTCAAGGAAGTTTGTGCAGCACCAATTACATTGCATTTAACAGTCTCCCGATTCCAAATATTAAACTACCTAAAATGTGTGTCTGTTTGACCTTAAGTGTCCACAGCATTACTAACTGGCTACCCACTGCTGTGTGAAAATGTCATGTTTGAAGCTAAGCACTGCAAAAAAAGCAAAATTGCAACAACAACAACAAAAAAGCAGCAACCAAACCAATAATCAGTATTAAACACTATAAAATGTTTACAACTTCACAAGCTGGGAATGCCTCAATGCAACAGGTTAAATGACACACTCCAAACTCTGCATCAGCAACACTTGCTTAAGACTGTCAACCTTATCTGGACATTTAAAGTCTCTGGACAGCGTCTGTCGGGGGACACAGTGCAGTGAAATGCCTCCCGTGTGTGTCAGAGTGAGGTATTACATTGTTGTTACTGTAGGATATGACCTGACCAACAGCCTTTTCCCCCCTTTTGCGGAGTAGCTTTTAATATGCAGGCCAACAGAAGAAGTTAGCCTGCCTATCAAAAGAAATGCCACTGAAGCTAAAAACATTAGAAAGAAATGTGGTGCAAGTAAAAACAACACGAGAATATCTTGCGATTCTAAAATGGCATTTTAGAAGGAACAGCAGCCTCTGCACTGCAAAATACAAGTCCCTGGAATAACAGCACTTTAGATAACATCAGCTTTAGTAAGGCGAGGCCACTATTAAGTATATAATGAAGACCCAGTGTGAAGCTGCAGCACAGTTTTTGTAAGGGACTGTCAAAGTTGCTCCTTATTTTCAAAAAGACTGAGCAACGTGTCTGAGGTTTCCATCTGAATAAGAAGTTCTCATATGCGAGCCTTTGCGAGGGGTGGGTGGCAGGGAGAATTTTATATCCCCAAAAAGAACAAAGAAGTAGTTAGTACTCCTTGAGAGGCCACTCGGAGGGAATATGGCGGTCTGAGTTGTGCACAAGGAACTTTTACGCACGGCCAAAGTTTTTTGCAGAGTAAGAGGGAACAAAGAAAAGAGAGCAAGGGGAGGGAAACACATCCGCAGAGACACTTACTGTTCTTGCACTGGGAGACAGCGAACCATTAGAAAGGTATGGATTGGTGAGGTCTGGGATCATGAGAAACGGGTAGCCAGGATAGTGTGGACTCTTAAAAAAGCCACCATCTTGCTGTCTTCTCAGTGCTGCAGGGATAAAGAAAATGGTTAAGCAAGACACAACAATTACCAGTTGCACTATGCAAAAGACCCAGAGTTCCTTTTTATTATTATTATTATCATTATTATTATTATTACTGTTATCATTACCTTCGCTGAAGTAGTCTCTTGTTTTCTCATAACTTTCTGAGTCGGGTCTGGTTTGGGGGCGCCTCTCTGCTTGCTACAACGGACATTAGACACAGACGGAGGAGGAGGGGGGAAACTAGTGAAACTTTCAGCGCTATTAAATCCCATTTCTTTTAATGCTGAGCCCCGCGGAGAGCACTTAAAATGTGCTCTGCACTTACCTCCGAGTCTGATGAGCTGCTATTGTTTTCCGACTCGTTCACTAAGGAGGATTTCACATCATCCAAATCCCTTTCCGCTGACACATTTTCGGAGATCTTTTCCTCCTGCTCCCCTTCGTCTTTAAACGATATCATTTCATCGTTGGCCCCCAAATCGTCCCCACCACCTCCGTTTAACTGTGGCATTTTCGCAGACGAGTGGAGAGTATCAAGGAGGACGAAAAACAAACGCAACAATTGACCTTTTCTTCTTTTTTTTTCTTTCTTTATCTGATCAGCGTAGTCCAAGCGAACCACTGGAGCAGTAAACTACAAGAAAATGTTCATATTTTAAAACTCCTTTTTCATCCTCTGAACTTGATCCCGTGCTCCATGTCGAGCCTTGAGTTAATAATCCACAATTAAAAGTTTGCAACGGCGACAGAAAAAATCGATGAAAGCTTGGCGTCGGTGGCCGGATGCGCCGCAAACTTGGCAAAGTTTCGTCTCCTTCGCAGGTTGTGGACAACTTACGGTCCCTGTGTGTCTCTACTTTTTGTGCCGCTGAGGAATGGGACTTTCTTTCCTCCTACAAGAGTCCGGAGACCACATAAACTACAGCACGCGCGACAGCGAGGTTATTCAAGAACGAGCAACACGTCCGATTTCATCTCCTAATATCCATGCGTAAGAGAACAACTGCTCAAGTTTTTTTAAAAAAAGAAGAAAAAAATGAGGAAAGAAAAAGGGAAAAAAACAACAACGACACGGGCTGCAGTTTTCTCCACTTCGGACTCGCTTGCTTTCCCCGAGAACCGACAATTTGTTATGTGGGCCCCCAACGTAAACAAAGTTCATAACTAGAAAAAGAGAAATAACAAAAGACGTGCAAAAGTATAAAAAAACAAAAGGTTCAGCTGGACGTGCTCGCCCTTTCCCTCCACATTGCTGCCGGGGAATGCGCTCTGAAAACTACTTGGTTGTTCAAGTGGAAGAAAAGCGCAAGCCCGTCCGTAGAGGAGGAGTTTGCGCTGAAAACCGACACTTCATTCACCGCCGTGTAGGCTACATCAGCTATTCTTAACCCTAAAGCCACCAATGCGCAGTCTCCATACAGACCATGAAGTGATGAGGGGGGGGGGGCATTTTAACTGGAGGGCTGCGTGACCACAAATAAATCACCACCCCAATATATTATTATTATTATTATTATTATTATTATTATTATTATTATTATTATTATAGACAAATTACGAGGTGGACTCGCTTTGTTTTAAACATGCGAATAAAGCACAAACAGCGCGTCATCCTAATCGCCTTTTAATAGTTTAAGTAAACACCAGCAGCAGTCTATCGTGTGACGCGACCAGATGATATTCCAAGTATTGTTCAGGTAAGCAGCAGAGACCACGCCGCCTCCATCAGGGAAGGAGGAAATAACAGGCCAGCTTTTAGTGACAAACTCGTAATTACACGCTTCTATTTAAATTGCACGTCTGCGCTGCCCTGAAACAATAAAGCGCAATAACACCCGGGATAAAGCACGGCCTATTACGGCACAGCTACCAGGCATGACAGTGAGGCAACAAGGCTCTGAACATCCAGGCCTCCTGTGACATGCCTGGCTCACTTCTCTCTCTCTCTCTCTCTCTCAAGCACATTGCCCCATTGTTGATTTGAGGAACAGGACTGGAGCCTGGTTTTGCAAGCTTTGGAAGAACAAGGGAAGTGGTTACATTTTTTTAAAAGATATGAAGTAACCTCCTCACAAATCTTAAACACGGGGATGAATTTTAAATCCACGACAAATGAAATGAGCTGAGTTTTTTTTTGTTTTTCTCGCAAAGTATGGAGAGTTGCTAAAGTTATCCAGAGGTGCAACACACTTAGGAAAGTGGTTTCATTCTTCAGGAGCTTTTTCTTTCTTTATGCCTCACGTTATCTTCGCATTTCTTATTCCAAGTCCAGCGGACCTCAGACTTTTCCTGACTTCTGATGCAATTCGACATTCTTCGCTTGCTTGTGAAAAGCAGTCACTGATGTTGTTGACTGTGTGTCAGCAAGCTGAAGGCTGACTGACAATTCAGCAGTGTTGTCTCCACGGGCCTCATTAGATCCCCAGATTCCTACTGAGTGTTTGTGTATGTGCTTGTCAGTGTGTGTGTGTGTGTGTGGGTGTGTGTGTGTGTGTGTGTGTATTTGTATTCGGTTAAAAGCAACATATACTGTAGTTGCATACTGCACCTAGTGCACTTGCACACACACACACACAGGTGAGTATTTGCCCTCAGGGCTACAGATCCTTGCTTTTTTTAAAGGGGTGGAAAATGTAGGAGGCTACAGTATGCAGAAAAAAGTATGAGTGAATTTTCCAAATTGTGCTTCGGTTAGTTGATGATTTTGTTTATCCGAAGTCTGTTTCGCAGCCTTTTAGTCACACCCTTTGTTTCTGGTGTGCATATTTCTATACCCCTTCTCAAAAAAAAAAAACCTAAAGTGGAGGAAAAATACAGATTTCTCCCCCTTAAAGATATTACGTGTCAAAGATGCAATAGACTATGCATGTCCCAGCAGGTGTAATTACAATAATTCAACACTTGTGCCCCATAGCCTTATGAATGATTAATAAAGAAATCAAATATTAAAACAAGTCAACACAGAAAAATAATAATGACATGCATAAGCAGTTGCCCAACAGGAGTATCTCTTAAATAATGACAACCTTACACACACACACACACACACACACACACACACACACACACACACACACACAATAGTTGAAGCAAGCATGATAATAAAGCAAACTCGGTCAAACTGTGGACAGCATCGAGTATATTTGCAAGATGATAAACGTCAGCTATCTTTAATATGTTTTGTGATAGTGCCAAGGCCTTCATGCTGATTTGTTCACCACTATCTCTCTCTTTGTTCTTTTCCTTTTTGCGAAATTCTAACAATCCAGCTTTGATAAAAATTAATTTCTTCACACCCTCAGCACCTGAAAGCAGATTTAATCTCTCTGACTTTAACCTACGGATCCCCGTTTCTCCGTACGACTGCCTCGTTGGAGCGGGATCAGTTTTAACTGAGAGCTGATGAGGGGTCAGGAGAGATGCGAACAGCCACAATCTTAGCCCGGGGGCAGATCAACTGGTGGCCAGAAAATTTATTCAGAGGGTGCTGTCCCTGCATCTGCCTTACTTTGAAGTTGCTCTCTCGACTCTGGCATGTCGTACGTGACTGCGTGTTCATTTTTTTAACCCCCCCTCCCCACTCTCACTAAAGAGAGTGTGAAAAAGCCGAGAGGGAGCAGTAGTGTACACATGTATGCGCTTCTGTCAGAGTAGGCTTATACTTGTGGTAGTTCGTGTGCGTGTGTGTGTGTGTGTGTGTGTGTATTTGACAGACATGAGAGTGGAGAGAGGAAAGCAGGGGAGGCGGGAGAGAGATGGAGAGATGCTGTGTGCCAATCCATACTCGCGCTGGAGAATTCAAGGTCATCCTTTCATGTTTTGCCAACCATCGGTCAATCAGTTCCCAATCAAAGTGGTGCTTAATTCAGCAGTAATTCCCATCTCCTTATTACGTTTTTTTTTCACCACCACCACCGCACCCCCCTCACTGTTTCAGAGGTGCTAAAGCATTTCCCCTGTCTTCTATCTGATCTGCTGCAGTGTGTCCAACATGCCCTGCCAGGCCAAACCCGCGCTGTCAAGTTCTTTAATAATACCAGTTAAAGTGTGTGGAGGACATGTCAGATCACACAATGTGCTACCAGTGCTTCTATCTATCTCACTTCAGGAGATTTAGGGCTCATTTGATTGTCTCTGAAGCGTACCCAAGTCATGTTCTTCCATTAATCAGTTCAACCCTCCCCAATGTCTCCATTCGTGTCTGTGTGTGTGTCTCTTACAGATTGAAACTGGAGCACAGAAAACTGTCCAACAGGAATCTGGAACAGTTATAATAGATGTGATGTTGTATCTTAATATTTGTGATTCCGAAATCCAAAGAAGATGCTTTGTTTACGCTGCGTAAAAACATGCCGCTGTCCATCTGCTGCCGAGCATTTTCACCCACGAAGAGAAAGCTTACAAATCACTCAGCGAGTGTCACTCACTCGAACCGCAGTGTGCAAAAATTAAGCATGCACCAACAGTTGCACATTGCAGAAGGATCAACAGACTTAAAAAAAAAAAAGAAAAACACTAAGCACTTCAGGATTTTTTTCTCCTTTTTTTCAAAGGGCAGGATCCAAAAGCAGATGAACTTGCACAACTCTTTTGCATCACCACTATGCTATATTAGCTCACCTCCTCAGTCATCACGCTAAGTCTAGATGGGAGTGCCTCGTGCAATCATGGATCTCACAAAAATAACCTCATATCCGTTTTAATCCAGAGAAAGGTCCCCTTTCCAGGCTGGTATGGGCGTATATGGCATTTAAGACTGTGTGAGGATATGATTAGATGACAGTTTTTACTGCCTAAAGGGTGTAACTGAAACACTAAACTGTGCAGAGAGGGGAAAATAAAAGACTGTGTTGCAAAGTTTTATTCCTGCCCTTCTCCTTCTCTCTGGCGCTTTGTTGCATTTTTAGTATCCTTTTCAAGCAGAGTCCTGTTTTCAAGATGAGACAGAGTTTCCTGCCAAAAAAACAGAAAAAAGAAAAAGCAATCAATCCTACCCTAATGAAACAACTGCTGACTCTGTTCATTTCTATATGATCGAGCTATAAAACATGACGGCAATGAGGCGCAGGCCAAATTAACATATTTTTCTAGCAAAGATAATAAACGTGCGACTAAATTAACTTTATAATGAGATATTCTCAAGAAGTATAAAAGATGATCAGACTTTAAAAAACATCAAACATGTCCAAGTCCTCCAGCTGAGATTTACATGGTCGCTAAGAAGTGCTCGCTCGCACCTCTTGTCTGGAAATCCATGTTCATGTTTTTCTGTATTGTGGAGGATGCTTTTAAGGAGCATTATTTCTGAGAACTTCAAAGCCTGCCAAAAGCACTCTCCTTTTGGAGTGTGCAGCAGCTTGAAAATGTACTTATATTTTCCAAATGGACAGGAAGAGGCCCTCACTGGTATTGAGGTGATGCTAATGCAGTGTGGCTCTAGTTTTTTTTTCTTCTTTGCTTTTTTTTTTAAGTGTAACACAAAAATATAGCCCCATATTTAAAATAATAATATTGTTTTACACGACTGATTATATATAAATTTTAACAGCTTGAAGACAGATACACATTTATGTATTTTTTGCTTAGTCTACACAAACGCATATCCAACAATGCCTACAGATACACTGTTTACGTGTACAGTCCCACAATCTAGCTACTATAATCTGAGTCAGATTCTTTCCAGATGCTGCATTCAGGTTGCTTGATATTCCCTCCTTTTATTGATTCAGTTAACATTGCTGCATGCAAGGCCGCTGTTTTCTTAGCTTGGGACACACTGCACGGCTCCTCGGGGGGGAATGGGGAATAGTTCCCGTGATGTAAGCCCTGCCTGAGTAAAAGCCTGTTGACTTTATTTAATACATCCGCCAGATTTTTATGAGCATTACGCAAATGAAATGGTCTGCATTATGTGTGAACCATACGTTCCACAGAGGCATGCATGGCAGCAGACAGCTGGAAGTAACTTGAGCCCCTCGGTCACTTATCAGCCTTGGCATCCCTGCCATTTCCCATAGCCATCTTCAAGCCAGAAGAATCCAGCCATTGTTTTCATCTCTGTGGGCCCTGTGTTAACTCAGCAGCCCCTTGCTGATTGTTGCAGAGATATTAAAGAAAATGGTAGATTTGTCTTTGTCCGTATAACCCTGTCTTGTGATACCAAGTCCCCTATGTGTATGTGAGTGCATGAGTGTTTGTGTGCGCTGTGTGTGTGTGTGTGTGTGTGTGTGGTGGGGGCTTCTAGTCGATGCAGTTGTAGAGAGTAGCTGCACCTGCCCTGTATGTCAACAACAGGGTCTGAAGGAGACACTCAAGAAGAGAGGTGGCTTTCACA